GCACGGATACGCTTCTGCAGCAGAAGATCACTAAAAGCGGACAAGAATTGCTCCAGGTTCTCTGAAATATTTCTTATATAATTCAGGTTCTCACCTTAGCAGATAAGATTAACATGCATTTGAGCCTTCTGAAAAAACTATATGTAATTCTTGATTCTTATCGTCCTCACGTATCTCCCTGTCTCTAATGATTCACGCGATTATTATTGTATGAGTGTTTAAGTGCCTTGCACCCACGTACTAAGTCATATCCGATTGTATAACACTCGAAGTTGTGAACATTTAAGCATGGTCCCTTTTCTCGGCCAATTGATGATTTGTTAAAGACATACTTAATCGAGTGTAGCATGGTCGTCCGTTGTCTCACAATAACAACGCTTCGCTACCTCATGGTATTTCTTGGTTTCATACAACTAGAAAAAAAAAAACGCCACCGATGCAAACATCTGTGCAAAATACTCCTCCGTCCCAAAATATCATCTGCTTTTTGCTTCAGAGAAACAACTTTGACAAAATATATATTAAAAATATTAATATTTATGGTACATAATTGGTATCATTGGAAAGATATTTTGAATCTTGTTTTTTAATAAATTTATTTGAAGATACAAATATTACACGTATTTTCTACAAATCGAGTCAAACTTGCGTCATGAAAACAAAAAACGACAGATAATTTGAGACGTAGAGAGTATGAACCTACGTTGTACACGACGATTAATACCTATCTCATGACAATCCCTTGAGAGGCAAACACAAATTAAACACTGGTCCAATCCACTATATGCATGTTGGTGCAACAACGCTGTGCCCCTTTTTCTAGTGAAAGGAACGAAAGATGGACTCTCATTTCATAACACCTATCCCACGGTCATCCACTACACAAATGTTTTTTCTTACACATACCACCAATAGAAGATTGATAATTCATAATTTACATTAACCTTTTATTTTTAAATAATAAAATTAATCCTCGAACTTGTTAATTCCGGCCCCCAACTAAAAAATATATCATATTTTTAGGTCTCTAAACTTGACTCCCAGTGTCATCTCTATAACTTAGGAAATGCCATTGTTAGGTCCTTACACTTGGCTCTAGGTGCCATCTTAGTTCAAATAGGTCTAAACTCACTCCTTGTGTTGATGTGCCAATGTTGACTGTGCGTTGACGTGGACCAGTATGTGTGGCCCACATTCAGGTTCACCTCTTCTCTACCCCTCTGGCGACGGATGAAGGTTGGGTCTTAGTAGGAGCTGCTACTACAAGGTGGACAGGCACGTGGAGGGAAAAGGAGAGCGCGGCAAACAAGGAACAAAAGAAAAAGGAGTGTCGGAGCATTTTTTATAACATAGTTGTTTTTCAATAATAGAGTGCCCAAATGTTGGATATCCATCGCAAGAGAGATGACATAAAGAAAGAGGAGAGACGAAGAAGAGAGAACAGATATGGATGTAGAATGTAGGCTTCTCACATGATGGATCTATGTCAAAGCACATCATGACATGACATTGTAGAATCTATTTGCATCCGAATGACACCTTGAACCAATTTTGAGGTCATGAAAATGGTATTTATTGAGTTGGGGACCTAAAAGAAACTCCGAGCCAAGCTTAAGTATTCAAAATAGCATTTCATAAGATGAGAAGACTAGATGACACCTCCTGCCAAATTGAAGATCCTCGTAAACTTATTATTTTCTAAATTTGGTATAGATGCAAATGCACACTAGGCCTTGTTTAGATTCTAAGTTTTTTCACTCTCTCTCTATCATATCAAATCTTTGGACACATGCATGGAGTATTAAATGTAGATAAAAAATAACTAATTACACAATTTGATTGTAAATTACGAGACGGATCTTTTGAGCCTAGTTAGACCATGATTGGACAATAATTGTCAAATACAAACAAAAGTGATACAGTGACAAATACTGATTTTCAACCATCATCTAAACAAGGCCCTACTCTTGTGATGAGTGCATCTTAGAAACAGAGACGACAGATCCTGACATTACTGTATTATCGTTGCCATGTCATCTATCACTAAACGAACAGCACCGCGTGCCAAATCTATTGAACCCTATGGAAGTCCCGCTACAAGATAATCTATCCAACTAAGCTATGTTATCATTACAGCACGTTTGATCTGGGATCATCTCAATTGCTTTTCAAGTCAATATCAGATCTCTGCGTTAAGAAGAGGAAGCCAAAGCCTTCCGGACCCTCCAGCAAAAAAGAACACCACCACCGTCCCATCCAATACAAAGATCGAAAGAGGCAAAGCCAGGACTCAGGACCGACCAGATGTGTTGTGTAAGCCTGTTCAGGAGAGCTCCAATTCTGGAAAAACAGATCCAAAAATCACCAGATCCACTAGATCACCAGTAAAGTATTTGTTACAGTTCTAGCCCTAAGTTTCCTCCCTTCTGTTCGGCTGGCTGAATCTTGGCTGAAACTAGCTGAAAAACACTGTTCTGACTGAATTATTGTGAGAGAAAAATATTATTCCGACTGAAAAAACAAGCCGAATAAGCTGAATATGGGGTAAGCCGAACGGAGCCCGCCCATTGCCACCTATGTCTGCGCGTCAGCTCTTCATCCCCTCTTTCCTCCCATTCCTACGAGGGCACATCGGAGTGGACGGGACAACTAGCAGGCAGCGGGGGCCTATGCATGCGGCCGCAGGTGTGGCTCGAGGCTCGAGCTACTGGTGGGAAGGGCGGGGCAGGTCTCGTCATGCTGGGGGAGGGGCGGAGGACGACGCGACCGACGAGGAAGTGATGATCGGCACCACAACGCACGGCATGGGCGGGACGGCTAGCCGGCGGGTGACCTTCGCGACGAGGCTGCTATGGAGAAAGAAACAAAAGAAGGTACAGGTTCAAAGTGAAATGTGGGTAACGAGGGACAGCGGCGGGTAATTTCATCTGACTCATCAAACTTGAGTTTTTAGAGCAACTCTAACAGTAGACTCCAAATCAGAGCCTCTTTTTTTATTTGGGTGCTTGCCCCTATTTTTGTTTGCCCTCTATTTTACATTTGCTCCAGCATAAGCCCCCAAATTCTCTTAATAGACACTGAACATCAGGGCCCACTTGTCATCTTCAATCTTTCACCATCTTAGCTATCCCAATGCGCAGGGGAGAGGCTCGACGAGCCGCACGGACTCGGCCTCGAGCGGTGCCGGGCCTAGCGATAGTGGGTGAAGTGTGCCGAGCCCAGGGAAGGGAAAGAACCAGCGGTGGGTGAAGCGTGCCGGACCCAGGGAGGGGAAAGAACCGGCGGTGAGTGAAGCCGCCGCCGCCCGAGAGAGGAGGCACGGGCGGCGCAACGACCGCAGGTGAGTGCTCAAGCTTTGGGCTACTGGGACGGGCGAGCCATGGCTAAGGGAGGCATCGGTGGAGCTTCAAGGCGGGAGCAAGAGAGGAGATCCGGGCGGGAGTAGGAGGAGCTCCGGGGGACGGTGAGCCATGGTCGGGCGATGCTCGAGCCGATGGATGAGGCCGCCGGCAGATCCACCCAGCGTGCCGGAGGGGAGGGAGGAAGCCGCGAGATCCATGCCAGAGGGGAGAGAAGGAGATGCGGGACAGAAGGAGCCACGTGGGTGAAGCCGTCGCTGCCCGGACCTCCTGCTTCGTGCCTGCGTGCAAGGAGGCGCCGCCGTGTCTTTGTGGTTCGGGGACGAGCGGGAGGCAGGAATGGGGGGCTGGGTTGTTGGGCCAACTGGAATGGGGTGCGAGGGAGGATTTGGGTGCTCACATAAATTTTGAGGCTCTAGTAACGGGCTCTCACTTTGGACCTCGTTTTTTGACTTGAGCCCCATATTTAGCTATGGGGCTAAGTAGGGGCTCTGCTTTGGAGTTGCTTAGCATTTTAAGTGGTCCACAACATGGACATGGGAGAGCGGATCCATGGATTTTGTAGTGCTTTTATGGTGGACCTGTGTAGATATATAAGGTGGTGTTTAGATCCAGTGACTAAAATTTAGGAGGTGTGTTGGGAGGATGTTGCATGGGGTGCTCAAATACTAATAAAAAAATAAATTACATAATCCGTTAATACCCCACGAGACGAATTTTTTAAGCCTAATTAATCCGTCATTAGCACATGTTAATGTAGCACACATTGTCGAATCATGGACTAATTAGGCTTAAAAGATTCGTCTCGCAAATTAGTCGCAAACTATACAATTAGTTTCGTAATTAGTCTATATTTAATACTCCATACATGTGTCCAAACATTCGATGAGACAACGACTAAAATTTAGGAGGGCCAACTAAACACCACCCAGGTATTTTGCTTGCAAAAGTAGATGTGGAGCTATTTTTCATGGATACATGAGCTACACAACCTCGTCCAAGCAGGTCTTACATACTCCGTTCAAAAAAGAACAAAAGAAATCTAGATTTAAATTGAGTGATTAAATTTAATTGAGTTTGTACCAAATAATATTAATATTTATGAGTTTAATTGATATTATCTGAAACATATTTTATAATGAATTTAATTATAATTATTTGGTATCATAAATAATATTATTTTTATATTTGGTTAACTTGGTATAAAAGTGAAATTATATTTTCACTAGAGCGCGGCAATTTTTGATCTGACGTACTGTAGCGATGTGATTGGGGGCGTCGGTGTCCGCCTACGCCGACGCTGATCCACGCTACAGGGCAGCCTACAGCGGCGGTGTCTGCGTGTCTCCTCCACGGAGGTCTCTGGCGACTGCCGGTGCCGCCGGGCAGCCGGGTGTTGGGCCGGCTCTGGCTAAGCAACATTTATTCCCGGGAGCGACCACGCCTCTCCACGTACCACCCACCCACCCACACCGGCCACTGCCACCACGGGGAGGGAGAGGAGGAGGACCCATCACGCCATGCTCACCTCCTGAACCTGAACCTGACCTGACCACCGCGCCGCGCCCGTTACTCCTCGCCGCCTTCTTCTTCTGCCGTTGCTGCTACGTGACTCTGTCTCTCACACCTCGGCGCCACGCCATGGCACCCATCTGCTCCCTTCTCTTCCTTCTCCTGGTACTGCCTCGTTCCACTTCCACCGCTGCTCTCTCCAAGTCCAAGCCGCCCGCGCGGTACCGGCACCACAGGCTCCGCGCCACCCCGCTCTCCCCCGACCCCATCGCACGAGCCGACGCCGCGCAGCCTCTCTTCGCCACCGCCTCAGACGAAGCATCCATCTTGGAGCTGGACCCGCACGACACCGGCAACGCCTCCACCGTCCGCCTGCTCGTCGCCCACCGCGAGGCGTTCGCGGCGCCCAACGCCACGGCGGCCGAGCTCCTGGCGCAACGCCTGGCGCGCGACGCCGCGCGCCGAGGCGATCTCCGTGTCCGTGTCCGTGTGTCCGTGCCCGCGGCGGCCGCGAGGAACGTGACGCGGCGGCGCGCCGCCGGTGCCGGGTTCACGGCGCCCGTGGTGTCGGCCTGGCGCTGGGCAGCGGCGAGTACTTCGCTTCGGTGGGCGTGGGCACGCCGCCGACGCCCGCGCTCCTGGTGCTGGACACCGGCAGCGACGTGGTGTGGCTGCAGTGCGAGCTGTGCCGGCGGTGCTACGCGCAGTCGGGCAGGGTGTTCGACCCGCGGCGGTCCCGGTCGTACGCCGCCGTCCCCTGCGGCGCGCCGCCCTGCTGCGGCCTCGACGCCGGGGCGGCGGCGGCTGCGACCGGCGGCGCGGGACGTGCCTGTACCAGGTCGCCTACGGGGACGGGTCCGTCACGGCGGGGGACCTGGCCACGGAGACGCTGTCGTTCGGGGGCGGGGCGCGCAGGTGCCGCGCGTCGCCGTCGGTTGCGGGCACGACAACGAGGGCCTGTTCGTGGCCTCCGCGGGGCTGCTGGGCCTCGGCCGCGGCCGGCTGTCGCTGCCCACCCAGACGGCGCGCCGCTACGACCGCCGCTTCTCCTACTGCCTGGTGGACCGCACCTCGTCGTCGTCGCTGAACCGCCCGTCGTCCGCGCCCCGCTCGTCCACGCTGACCTTCGGCGCGGGCGCCGTTCCCGGCCGCGCGTCGTTCACCCCGATGGTGAGCAACCCCAGGATGGCGACGTTCTACTACGTGCGCGTGGTGGGGTTCAGCGTGGGCGGCGCGCGCGCGTCCGCGGCGTGCGCGAGCGCGACCTCCGTCTGGACCCGTCCACCGGGCGCGGCGGCGTGATCCTGGACTCGGGCACGTCGGTGACGCGGCTGGCGCGGCCCGTGTACGCGGCCGTGCGGGAGGCGTTCCGGGCGGCCGCGGGCGGGCTCCGGCTGGCCCCCGGCGGGTTCTCGCTGTTCGACACGTGCTACGACCTGCGTGGGAGGCGGGTGGTGAAGGTGCCGACGGTGTCGGTGCACCTGGCGAGCGGCGCGGAGGTGGCGCTGCCGCCGGAGAACTACCTGATCCCCGTGGACACGCGGGGCACGTTCTGCCTGGCGCTGGCTGGCACCGACGGCGGCGTCTCCATCGTGGGCAACATCCAGCAGCAGGGTTCCGCGTCGTGTTCGACGGCGACAAGCAGCGCGTCGCCCCTGGTGCCCAAGAGCTGCTAGCTAGCCTAGCAGGTGTGCTGGACTGATGAGTGGAGTGGCTGACCCGAACCGGTGCCTCTTTGTTTGTGTTCTTCTCTGCGATACTTTTGCAATGGAATGGAAGTGGTGTTGAGTTGTGCATTCATTCCATCTCGATCGGATCATGGATTGTCTTTCTATTCTCGGACGGCGCCGGGGATCCGGCCCGTGTCATCCGCGCTGATTCAGACGGTTCGCTTTTAGTTTCAGGCTGATAAACCGACTGCTGCCAGTTTGTTGGCAGAGGAAACACTGTAACGACCGGTAAGCCAGGTTGAAACCAAGAAGCTGGCCGTTGCCGGCACGTCGGTGGGAGGGCCGTTGCCCTAGTCCTGTGTGCTGCCTGAATGCCACACCACACAAGATACCACCCGACATCCCGTCCCGTCACCACCTCACATAATACTGTGACTGACTGATGCCGACGCCATGCGATCATCTCCGTGCTCAAATTTTAGTGCAATTCTAGGTTAAATATATTCTATAATATAATGATAATTATTCTATTTTATCAAATTTATATAAAAAAAGTATCAACATTTATATCTCTAGATATATTTATTGACAAAATATATTTCATAACTACTCCCGTTGTCCAACTGTGTTTAGGTTCAAAGCTAGAATTACGTTCTTTGTTGGATGGATGGAGTAATATAATAATATTTGTTGCGAGGCGAACGTTATAGTAAATATTAGTATTTTTATTTTAATAGATTTAGTCGACATTTTTTGGGCTTTTCAAGAGCGAAATTACACTCTTTTTAGTATGTTTGATTTTTGAAACATTTACACGGTTCATCAACTTGCAAAATGTTTAGCCCTCTTTGGATTGTAGGACAAAGAGAGAAACTAAATGGGTAATGATAGGAGGCATGCGTCTCTCTCGTTCCGGACGTCATTTTTGGTGCGCCCGCCATCAATCTCGCTGTTTGCCGCTTTGATTTGCACGCTCCTCCTGCCGATTCTTGCCCGCCCACTTAACTTGAGCCAAAGCATATCTGGTGCTTTGGTGGTGGTGGGGCAAGTGCACCACCTTCATTGCCGGCTCCGACTCGGGCCTCCCCTACGTTGCAAAACACATATTTCAAGTGTTTGGATGTTTAATATGTATGTTACAAGTGTTTTATATGGATGTTGCAAAAGTAGATCGAGATGTTGCATATGTTGCAATGGTTGTACATATATTGCAAGCCACATTCTCAATGTTTCATCGATCGTATGTTGCAAATGTGTTTATCAGGATGTTGCATATATTCCCACACATATGTTTCATACATATGTTTGCGTTGCTTTATTTGGATGTTGTGTAGTTTACAATGGTTTGAGATGTTTTTTACGGTGTTTTATTGTAACACCTCACGGTGTTACGAACTTGCTAAGCGCCTAGGTTAAGGCGGCGAGATAAATCAAAAGTTGAGCGAGTTTTCAAACTTTAACAAGTAAAAACACACATGAAATAATTTCTGCAAATAGAAACAAGATATAACTTGTATATAGTGTTTATGTAAAAATGGTGAGCAAATAGTATAGATAAGAATACAACTTTCATTTTTGGCAAGTGAATATTGTTAACTAGGGTTTTTGGGAGCTCAAAAATCGATTCCAAAATTTAAACTAGAACTTTCCGTTGAATCGACAAGAAATTGAACTTATGTTTCAAATGCCATTTTTTGGTGATTTATACTGAGTAAAATAGTAAAAGGATGCTTAAATGTTTTTGCTCCTATGGTTTAGTATAAAGTATGGACTATTACATGAAATGTTTATTGGATGAAATTAATAAGGTTTAGACATATTAAAAATTGTGACGAAAGCGCAAATGGTTGTTAGTCCTAACCGGGCCTTGCCCCTTTTCTAAATCTGAAAATGATAGTAGACAATGCCGTTTTGACATTCAAATTCTAACAAAATTGTTTAAACACCGACTTCATGTTCTTGTATTGTTGGTTGCCTCTAGGCGAGTACTTGAGCATGGCTTAAGTGGTAGTGGTGTTGGGTGTCACAATACCTTCGTAAAATTTCCCAAACTTCGTTAAAATGTGTCAAAGTCATGTTGTTGGCGCTCTGTTCGTGAATTGACGTTCAGCGCGATGAGCTTATGTTGGCATTCCTCTCACTCCCTCTCTGGTTGCTCCCTGGTCATGACAATTGCTTCGCTAGCTAGCTGGTAGTGTTGACCTTAGGTTCATGGAATTGGTTGAGCCTTCGTTGAATTAGTGAGCAGTTTTTGGCCCACTTTAAAAAGCGTGCATGGCATTGTTCCTAGTTTCTTGACCTAAGGCCGCGATCACCATCTTGTGAAAGTGTCTTCTGAGATGTGAGTTTCCGGGTCATGGCCGGTGGCATGCCGCTGGTCGATTCGCATGCACCGTTGTCTCGTGTCGCCGTTCAGCATACGCATTAGCCTCGCCGTGGCCAAGTCCCACGGACCAGCCACAGTGGTCGACCGATTAGCAGCGCCCGAGCCGATTGGCCGCCGCCACCGCCCACGCCCGCGCATGCATCTTGCCAAGTCACGCCAGAGGCTGCATGTCGCCTTTCCTATCACCTTGCCCCACCAGCAGCGCGTGCACGGTTGCTACCTCACCTACCTACTCGCTCCTACCTTACCGCCTCTGCCATATCGCGACACCATCGTTTTCTTGTGCGGCGCGTGGCGCACGCATTGAACACACCTTCAATGGCTACATCAAGCGCTAATCGACACGTCGCTTCGCTCGTGTGGTCATATCCCGCCCGTGCCTCTTCGGTCGTGGCGGACCAATTCTGCCGGGGTGCGTTCCCGTGGCGTGGCGATGGCGGTGCACCGCTATCCTTTCCCCTTCGCATAACCTACAGCTCAAAGCTTCTCGGTCAATTCCTCGGCGTCGGCGGTAGCAAAGGAGTCGGCTAGGCGCCCCATTCCCACCAAGTCCGATCGTTGCACTGCTGCGTAATTTTGCATTTTTGCCACCGCCGGTCTTGTCGCCGCCGAACCGGTGGGTTGGGAGGTAAAGGCAAGTAGGAATGGTAGCAATTCAATTCGCCGCGTAACCCGAGCTCGCACTTGACTTTCTACATCCGGTGCTTGCGTTACTTTGGCGGGATGCTCGACAACGGAGTGTGGGCAGCGTCGGTGCGGCGCTTCCGAGCAGTATTTGCGAAAGCGCAAGCGCCACGTGTGCATGACCGCCACAACACTCCTCGCTTCAATCGTTAGTGGGGCGTGCACCACGGTGAGCCCTGAGATGCTTATCCGCCACCTCTACTTTCTTTGGCGTCGTGGGTTCGTCCCGAACAAAGCGCCACCTCCGCTTCGCGTCGGTCGCCGTTGAGTCCCTAAGCACGCCACCCATGCGTGTGGGTTTAGCCGTAGATGGTGTTCGCCCATTATTACTGTCATAGTGGGTCTAGCTTGCCCAGCGTAACCGCCGTTGCCATCGGTGTGCCGCACGCGGGTACGTCGAGGACCGCCCCATTGCAAAGGCAATACATTCCAGGGTCTTTAATGCAAAGCGTGAGTCTATAGTAATAGTGCTCCGTTGCTCCACGTGATTTTCAAAACTTGAGCCCTCTTTTGCAAGCGCAACGTGGGCATCACGGCCTTAGGCCCATTTTGTTCAGCTATCGCGACACACATGCGGCCATGACCACATTTGAAATTGCTCAAGCGAGAATGGGGTTCTTTGCCGGGCCTTTTCTTTTCTAAAGCATTTTCTAATTAGTTTCTAAAGTAAACTTGTAAATTCAATAGAAATTTGTGTAGTTGACCAAAATTGTGAAACCAATTTTGTCTAGTTCCTAAAATCATGATCTACCAGTTAGTGTATTTTGTTCACATAGTTTCATAGAAATTTCAAGAGTAATCTAATTAATTGGAAGCACTTAATATTGTTAAAACATCAACTTGTAGGAATTATTGTAAGGAATTGGTAGTAGTGTTGGCTCTGGATTTTTTAGAAATTTCCTAACATTAATAGGTGCTCATTGTAATTTTGTAGCTCCATAATAATTAGTTGCTAGGGTAGCTAAATGAGCCCTAGTTGAAAATATATATTTAATCAATAAAATGCCGAAATACCTTGGGATTGTAGAACTAAAACATTTTTAAAACGAAGCCTTACTTGATGGCGTGGATATGTAGACTAATCGTTAGTCATTAGAGCTAGCTCGTTAGCTTATGAAGCGTAATAGTGTTTTTAGAGATGCGGTTGTCATTGGTTAATTACGTTTCTCGCATGTGCATCTCTGAATATCATAATAGAAAAATGATGGATCTGGAGTCGATCAGAGTAGCAGGAGGATGGTGCCTTGGTGATCGTGTCGCCACGGTGGAATCCAAATCCTTGGTTATATCTTGCCCAGACAAGCCCCGATGCAGAACCACTATTATTCTGCACTTTATTTTATGCTTGTGCATTAAGTTTTAAGGAGTTGAATGAAAACCACTTGCATATATATATCCTTATCCTATGAGTCCTACTAGTATGTTAGGATTATGTAGATTGCTATGCTAAAGGATTCGGTAGAAGTCGGTGATTACTTGTCACCGTGAGAGATAGGAAAGATATCATTGTTCTTATTATCATATAACTATCATATGGAATATATATGGATGATAATTGGAAGCCTGGGCGGGACTATGCTTTGGATTTGGATTTGGTTGGGCAAAGCAAAGCCGAGGCCTTGGTTGCATTTGTTTCGCCTATGTTGATTGAGGACCGTCCGTTGCTGTGAATGGTAGTCAGGTCACAGACTTATTATCCTGAGCACACACTTGCTTATGGGAGCGAGAGAAAATCTCGTTACGCTCTTGTCATGGGTTCCGGCTCTTACGGGCCGACTTTTAGGTGGATATTAGGTGGAGGTTTAGTATCATCTGAGGACTGGGTCTCGGTGTTGAAACTTGGAGTTCAAGTTTGACGGAGACCTTGACCCCTTTGACAGGAGTAGAATAGGTTGGTCTTGTTTGTGCTCGGGTACAAGCGAGGCGTGTGTTTTGG